TTTTTATTTATAATTCCACTCATGATATTTTATATATTCACACATTTAATAATACATTGCACTTATTTAATACTACATTAAGGTTTTAAATTTATAATCTTACGTGTTATTGTAATTTAAAAAGCAGAAGAAAAAGAAAGAAAGAAGTATTGCAAGTAGGGTTGTTCGCAATGTGGTTTGGTTTGAATTTTACTATTTTTTAAATCAATCCAATTTAAATTGGATCCATGTGGTTCGGTCGGATTGATCAGTTTTTAACATTATTAAATATATAAGATAACGTAAAAATATTTTAACATCAAATAGAAAGTATAATTATAAAATACATTAATATCCAAATCAGTAAAAACATAATAAAAAGTAAAAATTATAAATGAATTCTTATACTCCGTTACATTTGTAAAATTGAAAAACTCTATTGGTTACATCATTAGAGGCACCAAAAACAATAAAAAATAACTTCAAATTTCTAGCACAGTGTAAATAATTTTTGATGGTTAAAATTAATTTTTTTTTCTTAATACATTAATAATTTAATCTCATTTTCTAAATCCTGTTAAAAGTGAGTAACATTTAACATGAATATTACTAAAATTGATTAGAAGCATTCAAAATCAAAATTTAAAACTTCTAAACCAAATATTTAAGAATAGTTGAATATTAAGACTAATTTTATTATATAGTTTTAAGGCTTTTAGAATGATACTTATTTAAAACTTAGTTTGGAAAATCATAAGATTATTTTAAGAATAAATTAGAAATTTAAGGTTCTAAGAGTAAAGGCGCAAACCAGTTCTGAAAGGATAGAGTTGCAGGTGAATTAAAAATTTAGAATTAAGGTTAGAGTGCATCGTTAAAATGAAAAAATAACTGAGGGAATATAGAGATGTTCTATTTTATTTTTTTAATTAAGTTAATGGAGATATAATCTTGTAAAATAAGAAAAAGAAAATTTAAAATACTACAAAAAATATGTTATATTATTTAATTAAATTATTTTTTAATTAGATTTTATTTTGTAATCGGGTAATTCGGACGGTTTGAAGGTAAAACCACGAATTAAACCAATTATATCGGTTTTAAAAATTTAGAATTCAAACCAATCCAATTTTATATCGGTTTAGATCGGTTTTTAATTGGATCGGATCAGTTTAGGTCGGATCAATCGAATTGAATCGGATATAAACACCCCTAATTGCAAGCGTGAACAAAATACTATTAACTTTTTACTATTAATTTTTTACAAAACATAGAAAAGTAAATAATCTCAACAAAATTTTCGTTATAGAATTTATATACAATAATTTTAACCTTTTAATATATAAATTGTATAATAAGAGGCAATTCCTTTGGACTCATGTCTATGACTTCAGCATATAATCTTATACTTCAACAAAAGAACAATTACCACTACACTCCTTAACTTGTTAATATAATGGTTTTAACTTTTGATACAAGATTTTCTATTAACTATTTTCCTAATACTCTTTCTTTTCTAAAATAAATTTTATTTTTAAGTTTTACTCTAAATAATTATTTTTATTTATAATACTCTTAAAAAATAAAAGATAAAATCAAATTTTTTATGATTGGATAATTAATTAAAGTGAATAGATAGTGATAAAGATAAAAAAAATATTTATCTATCTTAAAAAAATAAAAAAATAAAAAAAATTTAAAATAAATTTAAAGTTAAAAAATAAAAATTATTAAAAAAAAGGAAGTAGAAAGTTTTTTGAAAAATGACATTTAAACCAAATATTCCCAAACTGGCAAACAGCAGCAAACACTTCTTCCGGCAAAAAGACAGAGGTTGAGGTCCATAGAAGTAATTTAACCTACTATTTAATGCTACAATATAATGCATGAAAAATAGTGTTTATTCCCCTCATTCTTTAAAAATTAAAAAAAATAAATTAAAAAAATTATTTTTTTAATTTATTTAATTAAATAAAAAAAAACATAATCTCTCTCTTTCCTTCTTTTTTTTTAATCTATTTAAATAAAATTAATACTAATACTTTACTCTCTTTCCCCTTCCCTCTCTCTACTTCTCCTCTCTTTCTTTCACTTTCTTTTACTAATTTTTGTCCAAATATAGTGTTAACATATATTTATACCTAGGGTTGAAAAATCTTCATTTTAATTACAACTTTGCCATTATATGATAAAATTAACAAAAAGAAAAAAGAAAAAAGGGAAAAGGGAAAACAGGTGAAATAATTACAGCAGAACATGAAGCAGCCACGGTAATTTCGGCACCAGTCTCATAACCAGTACCGAACCATGAACAATGCAGTACTTGCCATAGTACCACTGGCCTTATTTCGTGGCAGTATTGCCGTGTCGTTTCTGTCATTAAGTGGCATTGTATTGCAATTTACATGGTATGGTGGCAGGACGCCCAGCTCTAGTACTTGTAGACAAACTTAAACAATTTAAGGTGTTTGGATCATGGGAGTTTTAGCTTTTGAATATTATTTATGTTTCATGAATTAAAATTTTTTTAAAAAAATTTATACTTTTAAATATTTTTTTAATTTTAAAAAACTTTTAAACAGTGAAAATTCAAAAATTTTAAATTCAAACTTTTCATAAACTTCTTTTTTATTTACCTTTCACTTATTTTTTTACTTTTTTAAAAGCTAAAATTTTATTTTTCTTCCAATAAAAATTTAAATTTATCACTCATAACAGTACTCAAAAAGCAAAATCTCCCACAAGTCACACTAAACACTAAACAGCTCTTAGCCCCATATTCTGGAATTGATCGTTCCATTCCTAGAATAAGCAACTTGTAGAGTGAGATTTGACACTGTACTTGTAGACAATTCTTAAACAATTCAGCCCTGGATTTGC